ACAAAGAAATACCTTTAAAGCTCTTCTCAGAGCAGTAACAATTCAACGATGGAATGTATATTCCATGGAACCAGATAAAAATATTTAATATTGGCTATGCGAAAATTTTTAGAATGCAGAATCATAATTGGGAATTATATTGTAAATAATAAGAAATTAGCAATTGAAAAAGGCTCATATGTTTTTTTATAATAGAAGTGTGTAAAAACTTTCTTTTTTATAAAAAAGTAATTTTTTACACCCATCAAAAATACTTTCCAAAAAATTCCAAAAGATTTAGAATGTTATACAAAACTTTAAATCAAAAAATAAATTGAAATTTAGGATTTTTGTATTCCAAATTCCGAGAAGGCTCTTTTTTGTTTTGTTCTAGTGCCGTCTCCACTGATGAAGGTTGGTAATGAATTATTGCAAATTGGTCTCTATATTCTGCTTTTCTTAAGAGCGCCTGTGAACCCAGTCCAGTGGCGAATGTTTTTTAGCCAAGATATTTGTCGTCTACCAGGACCCCTTTTTCCTTCGATTTTACGCTTCATAATCAGCTGCAACAATTCGTACTTATAATTTCTAAGTATGCGTCCCAAATATGCCGTCATTCACCTTTTAATGGTGGTTAAAAGATCCCTGTCTCTTCCCATTCTGTGGAACACCATTTCGTTCGTGTCAACATTAAGAGTTCAGTCTTCGACACAATAAAGAAGAACAGAGTGGATATAACATTTTACCATCCGATATCGGATTTGCAGATTGAGTTTTTGGTTACTCAGAAATTTCCTCATCTTCAAAGAGGCTGCTCTTGATTGCTCTATTATTGAGCAAATTTCTAATTTCAGATTTAGTAATCCTTGTAACGACTTTGCCCCTCTTACTGATAACCATCGTTTTTTGTTTTCTTTATGTTTATTGTTAAACCAAACTGTTCCCCAGTATCACAAATTGTGTTTAGTAACGTCTGCAGGTCTGTCTCACTTTGAGCGATAATAACTGTATCGTCAGTATATCGGATGTTATTTATATTTTCACCATTTATCTTGATCCCGTCTGTACAGTTTTTATGTTCTTGCGTAAATAACTCTTTGGATTATAATATTATATAGTAATGGTGAAAGTACACAGCTCTATCTTACTCCTCTCCTTATCTGTTGCTCATCCTTACTATTTCCTTCTAATGTTACCACAGCCTGTTTGTTCCAATAGAGACTTCTCACTTTGTTATTGTCATTTTTGTCGAGTCCTTTTCTCTTTTGACATTCCATGAGAATGTTATGTTTAACTTTGTCGAAAGCTTTCTTATAGTCTATAAACGCAACGAAAAGATCTTTTTGTTGGTCTAGACATTTTTGGGCAAGAGTTGTGAAACTATACAGAGCTTCCGCTGTTCCGAAGCGGTTACGAAAGCCAAACTGTCTATTACTCATACCCTCTTCGCACTTTCTGAATGTTCTTGCATGTATAATCTTTAAAAATGTTTTTAATAAGTGTGACATTAAGCTGATTAATCTATAGTCATTACAATGTGTGAGGTTTTTGGTTTTTGTTAATGGAACAAAGGTCGATAGCAGCAATTCTGTAGGTTCTTGCCAGATTTGTATAAAATACGTTGTTAAAGATTATAGTTATTGCACTTAAATTGTCTTCGTCTATTAGTTTCATCAGCTCGATATAAACTTCATCTAGCGCAGGGGCTCTGCCAGATTTTGAGTTCTTTATAGTACGTTGGATTTCAGATATTAATATTATTGGAGCTCAAATTTCTCAAATACACATCGAATCAGTTGACCAGGCTCTTTTATAACAACTGAAACAAAATAATGATTTATACAGACAATGTAGAAAACTGTCCCAACCAAGTAAATTTTAAACAAAAAATTAAGGTAGTATTGTCTTCATGAGTGATTTCGGAGATCGACTTTTTGGACTATGTAAATATTATAGGTACTCTAGGTACTACAGAGTTAGAATGTATAAGATAATGTAATTTAAATCAGTGCTTACAAAAAATAGCCACTGTAAATGTATCCAAAAAAAGACATTGTGGTAAAATAAACTTCTCGAGGTCACTTAAATGTTTACTTTGCATGGTTTTTAATTTAATTCTGTTTTTTCTTGTCTATGCGTACATTTAATGCATAAATAATTAATACACATATAGATATACACAAATAATACCATAAAGATCACCACAATAAACGATAGGTAAAAAAATATTTAAGAAAAAATTTGTTAATATTTTTTATCTCCTGTCTGTATATTTAATTGTTCGGGCTCTTCTCACTGCCATGTTATTTAGTACATTAGTGGAATTTCTTATTTAGAAAATACAAATTTTTCGTCTTCTACTTTCTTCCTTCCTAACGATGGTCTCCATTGTTGTATTTCGTAGTTCTATCTATTATTCTTCAGTCGGACATTGTGTCCTGCGAAGCTCCATTTTAATTTGACAGCATTTTCTCCTGCGTCTTTTACTTTGGTTTTGCTTCTAATTCATTTGTTTTTTTTTGTCTAGAAGTCTCACACCGAACAATGATCTTTCCATCGCTCTTTGTGCTTTTACTATTTTATCCATATTAGGCTTTCGTCTTCATCTTCTACAAGTGGGTAATATTATAACTGATTTTTCTTTAACACTCTACCAGACCTTTAAATCATGGGTTATGTAAATGTTAGCTACTAAGAAAACCAAATTTGGTATATCTTTATTTTCCCATTTTTCCCCCAAGTTCTAAATATTTAGTATTTTGAAGGAACACGCCCAAACACATTCAAATAATGATGGGTGAGGCAACAGATAGAACCTGAGAGGAATTTAGTCTAATAATATTGAGAAAGAAGCCGAACGGGAAAAGATTTAAATTAATTAAATAAAAAAAAGTACAAATGGACGGATTCAAACTGGTCAATATGAAATTGTATGATCAATGGAAATAAATGAAGATAAAAATGATTAACAGAAAATAGCAGACAGAACCAGTTAATCATATCTTAAAAAGATCTAACATGATCATATCTACAATTAAAATTAAATCAATGACAATCATAAACATTGGCATTAGACACAGTATCAATAGACAAACAAAAAAATCTTTTGTTTTGACGAAACTGAGAGCTTAAACATTACAATGTTGCAAAATAGTATCGTGAAATGGAAATTATATTTCATTACCTTTCTAGTACCGTTGAAAAATTCAATTAAAATTAAATTGTTATTGAAATTTAATTTGTAAATAAATAACAAGATATTTCAGAAAGCCATAATTGGAGAACAGCTTTCAAAGAAATGGACGGAGGCACATATGACATCTATATTTAAGAAAGGAGATAGAAAACAATGCGAAAACTACAGGGGAATAAGCGTAACATCATCAATAGGAAGATGATATGGGAAGATACTACGAGAAAAGAGCAAGCGATAAAAGGTAAAATCAGGGAGGATCACGCAGGCTTCACAGCAGGAAGATCATGCATAGACCATATATATACAGTGGAACAACTGTTGGAAAAGAAAAAATAGAGATATACATTTGGCATTTGTGAACCTGAGAAAGGCGTATGACTCTATACCAAGGTCAGAACTATGGGAGGCAATGTACAAATTAGAAATACAGACGGAACTCATAGAAGCTACAAAAGCTCTGTATAAAGAAAATAAAGTGTACATTAAAGTGGGAACAAAAATCATAGGAGACTTCAAATACAAGAAGAATATACCGAGGCAGCCCTAGATATTAACCTAGCAAAAACAGAGTACCTATCTACAAGTGAAGAGGACATAGAAGATCTACAGATTGATAACAACGTAACAATCAAAGGAAAGGATAAATTCAAATGCTTGGGGTTTATAATCACGAAAAAGGCAACAACACAGAAAGAAATTACGTAAAGATTAGGACAAACTAGAACAGCAATCCGATAACTTAACTCAGTATGATGGGATAGAAATGTAAATATGAAGACAAAAACACAGATTTATAAAACATTAGTGCAAAGTATTATGACATGTGGGGCTGAAAATTGGATTAAAACAAAAAAACAGCAGTAAGATAGTAGTAACAGAGATGCAATGCCTGCGAAAATGCTGACAGAGTAACACGAATGGATAGGAAGAGTAATAACGAAATAAAACAAAGAACATCAATAGAAACAGACATACTAACATAATATATAGAACAAAAAAGACTAAAGTGGTTTGGAGAAAACTAAAAACAGAAGAGAATTCGTAAAAATATTGAGTGATAACCTTGATGTCAAAAAAGGGTGTCCCACGATAGAACATGGGCAAGTCTTCGAAAGTGGTAGAACGGAAAGTGTTTTATCAAAGATAAGGACTATCAATTGTAGAATATGTATAGCAGAACAACGGTCGAAATTGAAAACACAAATAAAACATTAGCAAATTTAAGGACAAAAGAGTAACCTAAGTAACTGAATAAATACAATAATAGAAAGAGTTATTTTTATACACACAATATTATTTCTTATTTTTAAGCCTACCGTAGAAAAAAGATCGTTTAATTACTTTTAACAACCACCACATATCATACTAATTACATTCTGTAAACGATATTCCAACTTCTTCGTTTTTCATTTACCATCTTAAGGCATTACCATATTGACATGTGTCTAGGGCAGGTGTTTTTGTGTGGCACGCGCCACAAAACTCGAAACACCTTGTCTATTTGAAAATTTATTAGTTTTTTCTTCGCGTCATTCAGGTTTCAGCTGTTCTTTTTGATTTTATCTCTGAATAGGTATTTTTTTATATATTTTATTACCAAATTGTATATGTAACAAAATTGAATGAGAATAACGATTTTTAAAAAGTAATATTTGGAAATAGTTCAAAAGATTGTTTGTCACTTGGAGATTCAAGTTTATATTAATTTTGTCTCTCAACTATTAAAGATTGACTTTAAAATCTAGTTCTAAAAATAATTTTAGTTTTTATTATTTTAAAGATAGAAATAAAAAGCAGTAGATTTTTAAAAAAATTATTTTATTTAGATCAGTACAAAGTTCTTTGCAATATGCAGTATATCAAAAATAGTATATTTACAAACGTATTTTTCAAAAGAAAATACTCTTAACAAACTATCAACTTAACAGCGTAAAGGACAATATTGAGTACGTTTTGTCAAAAAATAGGGAGCAATGTTTTAGGTACCCATAACGCTAACAGTTCTGGAATTGAATAAAAATTTTATTGCGTTTATTAACGAATTTTTTACCGTTTAACGAATATACTAAAATAGAACCTATGAACTATATTTTAAACAATATATACAATTTTATATACAAAAACAATGACTAGAAAAACATTTTATAAACTCTTGAGATTCTTCAAAAATATTGTAGAAAATATCACTCGTTGGAATGAAGGCACTTAATTCCTGATTTGGAGCAAGTTTTTGATTAGATTTCACTGGCCAAACAATTTCTGTAACAATAGAAAAAACATATTTAGTAAAATATAAAAGGTATGTTATATTATTAAAAATGTAGACATGAGTTAATATAATATATAACGCTACAAGTGTCTGCTCATTGAAGGGAAAGAAAAAATTCGCGCTTATTTTTTCAATAAAATTTCTCAGACAGTATTGTTCGGTAAGATCTTGTGTAAGGTCTCGTTTCTTAAGAAACTGGTATGTATTAAAGACCCCTGTCAAGACATATGAAAAGGTTCAAGACACAAAAACGGTATTTTACTCCGGGGTAGGAAATGGGCATACTAAATCGGAGGGGAACTTTTATAATTCAGGTAGATATAGATTTAAAACAGGTATAAAATACACTGCGCCAAGAAAGAAATATCAGAACGTGAGATTAGATACAGGCAATTTTACAATAACTGTATTCTTTCTTGAATAAATATTCTTATCAAGGTAGGAAGCTTATGTTTACTTATTACACTTATAAATATATACAAGAATAAGTTTAGTAACTTCACAGATAAATGTAAAATACACACGGAGATATGACTATAATTTATCAGGAATACTACAGTGAAAGGGAAATGATAAAAGTTAAACTTAAAACAATATATTATTAAGAATATTTAATTTAATTTTGACGATTAAAAATCGAAAATATCAGAAAACAAAGTTAAAGAAAGAACAAATGTCAGAATGTATACTGTTTACAAAACATAATATAATTTTGGATACGTATATTGTAGTTACTGATAATTTTGATAGACACCTTTAAATAAAATAAATATTTGTAATAATTCACATACTAAAGTGAATATAGAAAAATACTCTAAATGATAAATGTGAATTATAAAAATATTTCGATATGAGCATGTTAAATTCTAACAAATTAATAAGAAAAATAGTACTAACCTTATAGGACAGTGTTATTCTTGCTGCCAAGAAAATATCGCATCTAGAAGTTCCTCGTCTTCTGGACTTTTCGGGTCGTAATTTTCGTAGTTTTCGGTCGAATGGTACAAGGCGTTCGTGTAGCTCTGAGTCGTCGAAAATGATCCCTCTGAACTGTGTGAAGGTGTGGGTGATGCTGAAGCTTCTGAGCAAGCAGGGGTGGGTAGTAGTACAGGATAAGAAGAATAGATATGGGTTGAATCTGGGCTGCTGGTGTAATATCTGGTGTCACTAATTTGGTCTCCAGCTATAGAAGAGTTAGTTGTCATGTCGTTTTCGTGATCTTCGATCATTTGTTGTAGGGATCGAATGTATTCTACTGCTAGTCTAAGAGTTTCTACCTTGCTGAGTTTTTTTGAGGCGCCTCTGCCTTGTGAAGGTCCTTGTGGAGACAAAGATTGGGCTACACTGGGTGGAATGTGCGATCGGAGGGTAGCAAAGCCATTATTCACCTGTTTTACACGGTTTCTTTCCCTGGCGTTTCTTCTAGCTACAGAGGCAGGTTGTTGTGGTGGAGCACCGTAAGGCATGAATTGAATTTTTCTCTTACATCTCAGATCGTTGTTAGTAACAAGCACAGAAGTTCTTTCAGGAGCTGGAGCCAAAGGTCTCTTGCTGGCAATGTTATTTTTCGGCTGGGTAACGATGACACAATTTCCCTGAGCAGCGGAATGTTGAATTACGTTATACATTTTGTTCTGATGTCCTAAAGTCATAGTAAGCGCCATAAGTATCAACAAATTCACAAAAACCGGAAGAGTTAATATAAAAGTTCAATGTTAGTCAACAAGCGCGCGAGTGCGTAAGCCACAGGTCCGTTATACACGTTATACTTGAGGTCTACGTAAAGAATGATTTGGTTGGAGCTTAACCTACGGTTTTCTATCCTACCGTCGTCAGCCCCCACCGCTAAGAGATGCGCGCGCTATTTGGGGGTTGTACGCGTGCCATAAGACGTGAGACGCATGGCAAAGGTTGCCGAGAACTCGGATAGCTCCGTCTTGATTTCCTCTCTTCACACAGTGTTGCCAAAGAATATGATATATATAAGAAATACAGAAGATTACAAAACTAAAATTTATGTTGAAAATGCTGATTGCTTTCTCTCAACATGCATATAAAAATGTTCTAATTGATTATAAATTATTTTTAAATACATAGGTATCAGCTTGTTTGAATTTTTAGTTTAATAATAAGTTTAATATTTATTTTATATAGTTTCTCTTCATCTTCTCTTTTTAAATTATATTTGTTTGTATAATTAGATTATTGACACACACCATTGACAGATTTTTCATGTATTTCCTGAGGTACGATTTCTGCTAAAACTACTTTGTATGATACTTCTTACATTTGTTCTTATTTCTCTGTTATATTACTCGGAATATTTTGGATGCTGAAACTTTCCATTTTTATTTCTATTAGTTCTAATTAATCCATCAAATTTTTATTTATTTCTTGATAACGTGATAAGATTTAGTGAACCTAAAGCAAATGCTACACCAAAGTGAATACAAATTTTAGAAGGAATTATTAAGAAAGAGATTAAAAATTAAACCTAATATCCAACACCAGAATATAGCCTATTTTGTTCTAATTAGTTGAGTAAAACTAGTAAACTGGGTCGTTTTGTTAAGTAAAAAATAATATAGTATCAATTATTTCTTCTAAGATGAATTGTTTCTAAAGTAAACATTTTAGCGACAGTATTAAAATAATCATTAAGGTACGCTTAAATATATTTATACCAAATTAAATAATTTTAAAACATAAAACTGGTTTAGATAATAAAGTGGAAAACCAGAGGGACAATATATATATACCGAAATAAGAGTTCGAAAGATGAGAAATATAAAACAAAAATGTATTTTTCGGCCAGAATATAACTAATACACGTATCACATAAAAGTGGGGATTAGGTACCCGGACTCTGGCAAAAAAAATCAGTTTAAAGAAAATAAATATTTCAGTTATACAAGCAATTCAAATATAAAAAATGGAAGAAGTAAAGAAAAATTGAGCGAATTAATTGAAACTAAAACAAAAATTCTATTTCTATTTTCACTTATACCAATTTGGTAGTACACCAGAAAACGTACAAAACATAGTTTAATTTTGACTGCTTGCATCCCAAAAAATGGCATTCAGGAGTTCAATAAAGGTCCATAACGATGTTTCGCGTACAGAAATTTCGAGAACTCTAAATCGTCGAAGACTATCTCGCAATGCCAGCGTCAGTTTGGCAACGTCGCGGTTTTATCTCGGAAGCTGCGTGGGATCGAGTGGCATCGCCGCATTGCGCGGCGGCACAAGGCACAGCCGACTGCAATTTATCGGCAGCTGCAAAATGTTCAGAAACACATGTAGAAGTTAGCGCCTAGGCTTTAATGTTAACACAGTGCACTGCCTTTTTATGACACTTGTAAATTAGCAACAAGTTGATATTGTATTGGTAAAATGGTGGAGGGTTCAATAAATTATTTTTACAAATGACAGGTTCTATAACATCTTTTGGAGGATAAAAGAATGGCGAATAAAAAACTGCAAAAAATAAGTTTTTAATTTGATGAGTCTGTAACATCGGTAATTTTAAATAAGGTATTACTCGTGCTAAAAGAGATCATTTATTAGGAGCATTATAAATACAGTTAATGGAGTACAGGGTTTTATCTTTAGCACATTTTAACTCGCTGCTTTAGAACAGAACTAGTCTATGTCCGAGATCACAACTTTTCAGGAGAGCAATTTAAAAGTTTAGTTTTCCATTATGTTGTTTTTCAAACATTAACGTTTACTTTGTGCATACTTTTCAATTCATTTAGAAACTTTTACATTACTATAAAACTAGTTTTTTTTGTTTCATTATTTTAATAAAAATTTAGGTGGACATAGACTAGTGCTGCATCAGAATTATTAGTGCAGAATTAGCTGATCTGGACTTATGCTAGTTCTACACTAACAATATTCTTCATTTTTACAAAAACACAAGTTACTATTTAAGTATATTTGAATGAAGAAATGATTAAATAAATTACTACTGTTCATAAAAATACAACTACAAATACAACTGTACAAATATTTTATTAATATTTCACTGATTTATAAATTAAATTATAAAAAGCGATTTCATAAATCAAGTTTCCTTATGATTTTAAATTCAAATAGTCCTCTAATTTTTTTGACTGTTATGGAATACTATGCGTTTATTTCTTCTCCGGACTAACTCTTTGTTTTGGAATTAAACAGAATATATTGACATGTATAAATTTATTATATTAGAGGATGAAAATTACACTGCCTGTTATTTCTTAAAACTATGAATTTATAAGTTCTGTTATCTACAATTATTTAACGATGTTTCTGGATGGATTTGAGTACAAGAGATTGACTCAAATATTAATATTAAAATAGCAAATACGGATAGCTTATCGAACAAAGAAATAAGAAATAAATTATTATTATTCCATAGATACGAAGTATTAGCGAATAAACTAGCGAAACTTATTTATTCTAAATAGGAAAATATTTATGAAGAGTATTGATTCTGATTTCTAACAGCAAATAATTATTAGTGATTATACATGAGAACTTTTCATAATTGTAAATAACATATACCAGGTGACTAAAAACTATATAGAAATACATAGATACTTTAATTATCTTACATGTGAGTAGGTAGGTACATTACACCTCCTTTTGTAAGAATGAAAATAATTGTAAAATGAATTTTCATTTAAATGGTATAAAACATTTGTATACATTATTATTTTATTTTAACACATTTAAATAGTTTCTTTTAGTCTCGATAGTCTTTCACTTCGTCTTATCGGTGTAGTCTCTGTGAAACTAGTCTCTCACACTTTTTGGATTCACTATAATTATTGTCTTTATTATGTTTACAATCTATACTTAAATCTGTCTCATGTACATGTTTTCGTTTACTTTGACATATATTTAGTGTTAAACAATTTGTAATTTGTTGACAACTATGTGACGGATTTCTACGAAATCGTCGGTAAAAATATTTAATTATCCTGTATAAATATAAAGTAACATACATTTTATCAAAAATAAGATTGCATAAGTGAAATAAGAACTATTTTTTATTGTGTCTGAAAAATTAATATTTGTTTCTGAGTCATTTTCTCTAAATTATCTAGTTTATGGCTTGCTAAATTTAATGCATCTCGATCGAGATTATTTAATTGTAAGGGAACAAGTGTAATTTGGATTCATTATTTATCTTAATATCATCACAACAGACTTCTGGAAGGGATAAATCTGAATGATAGACTGAAAATGTACTTTCTTTTGGATTTGAGACAGATATCAAAATAGTTGATCCGGTGTAAGTTTTGCAATTATTCGAAGTAGAAAAAATACCTGTGTTTGAAAGAACAATAGATATTGGCGTACTAGTCTGACAGCTTAAAGTTAAATCTGTTGGTTTGGGTAAAACATATATCCAAGAATTTGGTTTGTTTAATTTATGCCAAATTTCATATTCTGTTTGAATTATACGAGTATCGCAACTAGATGGTATGTTTGTTATTGAAGTTAACAATTCAGTTTCACAAATTGGATTAGTGTGTGTAAATCGGAAAGTATCAGGATTTTGCAAATAAGTTTTTCTTCATCTAATGAATAACAGTCTTCTAATGTAATCAATAGTAACATAAATGTTTCTATTTTCTGAAAGAACAAGATATTTGACAGATGGAAGAATAAAGGTAAGTCTCTTTAATGTTGGATGAATTATAGGAAGAGATATTAGTTTAAAAAGAGAATAAGGAGTATTACTAACCAAAGTATACTAACCGTAATTTAAAATCTTGTTATCAAAATATATATATTTAAGTAAAATGATATCGAAATATTTATGAGCATAATCGATAGTCAATGGAAATGGATAAGTCGATGTACTAGGTAAATGCGTTACCGTTTTAGATAATTCTTGAATTAGTTGCTCAGGTGTTATAACAGAAGGATGAAGGTTATTATTTCTTGCAAATAGAATAACGTTTATTAAAGTAGAATATTCTTGTTGTAATTCTGTTATAAAGAAAGTTAGTAAAGTAAAATGTTCTTCAATTTTTTGTTTTAAATCTAAATTAAAATATTTATTATTCATTTTATCTGTGTAATTGGTAATTGATTCAAAATTTTTATCAAAAATCACTTTGTTTCGGTCTAGATTTGTAATAGAGTTTATTAAAATTTGCAATCGTGGCTTTTACTACATGAATTTGTTGTTTTAGTAAATCAAGAAGATGATTTTCGTTACTTTCAGCTTTGTTAATAGCATTATTGAAATTTTCAGCATCATCACTGTCTAAGGTACCGAATAAGGTCCTGAAAACAGATCCAATTGCATTAAATAGAGCGCGTTTTGGTCTAAAATGTTCATGCAGAATTATGTTTTTTTAAAGTTTGTTCATCTTGAAAGAGTCTAGGTATGATTTGTCCTAAGAGTTTTTAGTGAAGTATCACATAATCGTAATTCAATAAGAACTGGTTTGTTTTGACACAGTCTTAATGTTTTTTGATAGGTGAGATCTACAAAATTTAATTTGTCTGTAAAAGGTTGTAAAGGAATATGACTTAATATGTTCCAATGAGTTTCAATAAATTGAACATTTTTTATGTGTTCGTAATAGATTCCAGGTGATTTGTTGATAGGAGTATTGGTATATTTCTTGTGAATTTGTTCACTATTTGTCAGCCATATTATTGCATACCTGAAACAAAAGCATGTTTCAATCTATTCATGTGAACTTTTATTGGTTTTTTATTTACTAAAATTGTGCAATTGACAGGAGAATTTATCTCTAGAATTTT